TACCAAATTTGAAGTTTCTAAGAAAAATAGTTTTCAAATTATTTGAAAAAAAATAGGTTATCTATTCTATATTTAGAAGGCTATATCTCAGTAGGCGCGCACTTTTAGGCTAAATAGTCTTATTTTCATCCAAGGAACGTGTGGTCAAGCGTTGTCCATCCTTTTCAGGGACACCCTGTATAAAGGACGTTTAGTTTTTCCTTAATTCAAACCAAGGGGCTAAAATACATTTAAAATGTACATATCTAAGAAATATAATTTTTACGCTTTTATTAGCATCAGTCTTAAAAAAACTGTTTAATCTGATTCGAGTAAACAATTAATAACAATAAATACATATATAAGACCTTAGGACCCTCTGTATACAAAAAAATGTTTTGCTATTTCACTTTGTAATTAGAAAATTTAACACAGAATAATTTGACTCCTATTATAAAGTTATTAACGGTTTCCCATCCTGTCTCATATTTACAGATACAAAAAGGTTCGATTGTAAACCGTGAAAGTTTTCCAAGTCACTTGCTGCAGAAGTGGGTCAAGTCTACGTCTAGGTATTTCGTATAAAAACTATTAGACAACTGAAACAGTTGTGGAGCAAAAAGGACTACCTACAACAATAGTAAAATTAATAACATTATTTTTTTACTTACAATTTGATTGTAAGATCACATGAAGGACTCAATCTCAAAATGATAAAAGATCATGACTCCTACTCACTGATTGTATAAGCCTTTACATATATTTTTTTAACATGTGAGTTACTTTGGAATATTTTGTAACGAACGAAATGTAAACAGCAGTAAAAGTAATTTTATTTGTGTTATTCATTGAGTATATTTTTGGCAAACCTAGATTTTATAATTGATTAGAGAGCAAGTTCCGCTTTTGAAAGAGAAATCCATCAATTCTCTGCTTAATTAAAAAAAAAACATGGACAAAGCAATATATCACTAAATTAATAAAATACTCGTTATTCTTGTTTCGTTAAAGTATGTCGACCTACACAAATCGATAAAATAAAACAAGATTAAATATAATAATTTTAGATATGATGTTTTATCTGCTTTTTATGGGAATATTTGATTATAAAATACAATAATTTTCTTATTAAGTTGTTGTATTTAAATAAGAGTAATATGTTAACTATTCTGTTAAAAAAATAATTTATTTTTTTTAGTTTGAATCAATGTTTCACTGCCATACCATCTAAAAAAATTTTTAGTACTTGATGTCCAAAAATTTAAACTCATCACTATTTTTTCAGTAAATGTACGAACAATGATATAAGCAGAGCTCGGAACTGGGTCGGATGATCATAGCCGTCGTGTCGGCCTTTCGCTACAGCGCACCCTACGAAACCGATAATAACGGCAGTTATTGGCTTCGCGTTTGCTTCGTGTATACGTGTTTTAATATTCTAATAATGTCGAACGCGCCAAGGAGTAAAATACGATACGATTCGTTATTTATTTCTATTTATACCTACCTGTTTACGAAAACCCCGAGCTTTAATGATAAGGCCACACATTATGTACAGGGTTATCATACAAAAATGTTAAATTAGACTATAACTTAATTTCTTTGAATTCAGTGTGGACCATATTGGTATCTTGGAAACTATAAAAGATAGGAAAATCGTCGGAAAGTTTTAGACAGTTCTGTTGCTAACTTAATGGCGCTTGAAGACCGGTCCTAACTCTTCAGGTTTTTGTGTTATTTTGAATATAAAGTACCTAAATGTAGCGTTTTCGAAAATCGTCTGTAACTTTTTTATTTAAAGGAATTTTTAAATCTGAAAACACTTTCACAGCAAGTTTTTTCAAGGAATTTCACTGTATATTTAGATTTTCATTGCGACGTTTCGGTTGCCAACCACCAACTTCCTTTTCCCTTATGGCCGCCATCATATTCAATTTTAAGCTCAGCAAATAGAGCATTTTTTTGGCTTTTCAATGATATAATATAAGAAAAAATTTCAAAAACAATCTCAAAAATCAATATTTTAATGTTTTTAATAAATCTGGCAACACCTCATAATTTTTCGAAACTATTATAGAATAGTCTCATTTTTTTGTAAAAGCTTATCATTAACGTCATGGCGTTGAGTGAGAAAATTGCGTTTTGCGTTATTATTATGATGAAAAATGTGATATGTTGTTGCTTTATTCAAAATAATAGAAAAACAACTGTGGCTTTAAACATTTGGATTATCCCGAATGACAACCACAAAATGAAATGTATTTTTGAAGTTTTGAAAAGCTAAATACTAAGAACTACGAAAGAGATAATAATAATTGGAGCAATCAAATAATAGATTATTTCAACAACAATCTAAATAACATCAACAACACATGTAATAGAGAAATAAACATCAGGATTATTATTCCAAATGCTGTCAATTTTTGGTGTGTATGAAAGGTACAATATTATTTGTCAATTCAGATAAGAAAGATATAGGAAATTTGTTTACTATAAATGCCACCCCAAACATTAATTCTTAATCGTGTCTATAATCTTCGTTGAGCCCGCAATTCAGGATTTTCTGTAGCCCAATGATAGTAGTTAGGTATATTTATTAAATACTCCACAATTAGTGAACTGTGTTTCAACGATCCATATAAGTTGTCAACTTTATTAATAAAGTCGTTTCCCTGAAGCCCCTGTACAATGGTCGGTTTGTATGGGTGATACTTATTTTTCTTAAAAACCCTACTAATTGTTGTCTTTGGAATTTTTCTATTACATACTCTTGTTGACGATGTTGGATTGTTGTTGAAATAATGTATTTCAAATCTTTGTTATAAGTTTAGGAAAATACTATTTATTTGGTGGTTGTCTTTCGGGATAATTTGCAATATAATTCTTTAAAGCATTTCTATTATTTTTAGTACAGCACTCTAACATATCACATTTTTCTTCGTTGGAATAACGCAAACCATTTTGACGATTTTAAGCCAAGTGTCACTATAACTGTTAACAATTAACTCTATGATTAACAATAGGTCAAAATGACAAGCAGTTTGAAACAAATGAAAACATTATTATCGTGACTACTAATGGGGCTTTTTTCACTTAACGCCATGATATTAATGATAAGCTTTTACAAAAATTTCAGACTATTCTAAAATAGTTTCGAATAGTTTCGAAAATTATGTGGTGTTGCCAGGTTTATTAAAAATCATCAAAATCGTCCACACACTGTATATCGAAGTTAAATGTGATTTATCCAATTTTTTTTTCTTTCAGGGGGAACTCAATTTTTGCGTATCTGTTTCCGAATACCTGCTATATCTAGAGTAGAGGATCTAGAGGATGCTCATAGTTACTTATATTGCTATACTAAAAAGGATACTAAACACCCCTGTTTTGGTGTTAGCCTTGATTTTACAGCTAAATATTATACCGCAAACATGCAGCAATTCATAGTGAGTATTAATAAACAATGGAACGCCGATTGGCTCGGCCACCTTCGATTTGCATTTACTTATTAACATTTTCGCACTATATGTAGATTGAGGAACTTTATAAACGTTGGTAATTATTAAACGCAATCAGACACAACGCTGCGGAATAGTAAACAATTTAAAAAGTAGTTTTTTTCTCTTAAATAAAACCGGCTAAAGTTGGAATTTTCACTGTGCTACTGCTAATAAGTTTATAGTGATTTTGTTTTACAAATATTTAAAAATGTAAGTAGCTTTATGTAGGTATGTAAGTAGATTCATCTAAAATAATGTAAGGCGTGTTACGTTATATTTAATACAGTAAAAATGTCGACAAGTTTTTTATAAAAACAGCATATTACTTGAAAATGTAGGATATAAATATAAAATTAAACATAGGCACAAAATAAATTTTTGTGACATTTTTTCTACCCTATCCTAGATCTACATATGTTCAAGGTCGTTAACATAATATTTCCTCTCGACCCCACCCTGTACATATTTACTTCACAATATATTAGGGAGCTTCATTTGAAACGTACACTTTTTTTCGCTTTGTTGACGAAATATTGTTCTAAATATTGGAGAAAAATTCTCATCAAATTTCAGTTCTTAATTTTAATTTTAAGTAGGTACTCGCTACTAGATTTAAGTGAAAAATAAATAAATTTAATTTTGTTGTACAAGAAATTCATATTACAATATAGGTATTTATTCATATAAAAAAATACTATTCAATAAAATGTATTAATTTTCAATTTCTTTATTTACTACGACTTGCTTTCAAACTTGCTAGTAGCTGTTTCTGTTTCAAGAACTTCACAAAATTCAAAACAATAGAAAACCAAGCCCTTTATCAATAAATTGATGAATTAATTCATGAAAAACTTCTTGAATTTATTCATGAATGAATTCTCAATGTAAAGCAGCTATAAGAAAGTTTTTTTCCCACTTATTCTATTTTTAACTTAATTAATGGTTGCCCACTACAGCACCTTAGTTTATAGCTTTCAAAAAATTCAAATAACTACACCAATACGCTCACAAAAATTTAATTTTGGTCAAGTTTTACTCATACTGTTCATTATATCTATTTTGCCCTCACTAGTTTCATCTCTATTGCACAGATTATTGCGACTAACCTTTTTCTAGGGCCAGTTCATAGTTTATAAGGTCTTTGCTGAGACCCAGCCAAATATGTGGACGACTGGGCTAGCCGTTAACGTCTAGCATGACGTCACGAAATAGATTCCGTGCGTTTCCCGCGTGATTTCATTAATTATTTTGAGGGAGAAATTGTTGAAAAAAGAATCTTATTTTTTACGCATCAACTCAGCACGATGTGTACCTTCTAAATATGAGTTTAAAAGAATATAAATGAGCCTGTTGGTTTTTTATTATATTTCACCGTGTTAACAAGAGAATTTTCTGCAAATCACAAAGGAATGACTCTGTACATCACAAAAGGGAGATATAAATTAACAAATCCTCATTATGTTTTTTTCCAGGCATTGACCATTAACCTGTATTATGATCGGATCACAATATCATGAATATTAATGTTGTATTATTTTGTTTAGATTTCATTTCAAATGTCAGTTTACCTATATTAAAAAAAATGGAATGTAAGCCGTAAACCACCATTCTTCTATTTTATGCCATAATTTACATTCGTTAGTTTAGGTGTACAGTAATGGTTCTAGGAATTTCATGACCCTGGAATTTGGCCGTCTCTACAAGGTGATACATTTACAAGGTGGGTTCCAAAATAAACAGGACTTTTCAAAAATAGGTATTTCCAATGAGGCCATCTATTGGCAATTACATGCGTCGGGAAGGTAGATCCTTCACTGATGTACTGTCAAAATTTTATGACATTTGGACGAGTAGAAACGGAGTTATTGCTTCTGAAAGGACAGTATGTTTATGTCATCGGTATAAAAATGAGCATCGAACAAAGAGCTAATATTAAGTTTTGTTTGATGAACCAAGTTTATGGTGATTGTTTATCCCGTGGCGGAGTTCATGAGTTCACGTGGCTTAAAAACGGTAGTGAGGATCTTTCCGATNTCATTTCGTCATTGTTACCATATTCATGATGGTCTCAACATTAGAAAATTTCCATTTCAGAAGCGTATTTGAACAATATAAAATGATGTGTAGCTTTTTTAAAATGCTTCTGATATTGTTTTGTGACATTTTTATTTGTACGATGAATGGCAGAATCCGTAATCCATATTAGAAACTTTTTCAGTGGCTTCTCAAAAAGAAAAAAATTCTTGATAAAAGTTGCTGCATCCCCAAACTAGAAAAGCAGTTATTTTTTTTTAATATACAATAACATTTTTCAGTTAAATTTTTTGAGAAATCAGAAAAAATTGTCTGGATTACGAATTAAGTCATTCACAATACAAATAAAAATATTACAAAAGAGTATTAGAAATATTTAAAAAATTACTCACACTGTTTATACTGTTTCAAAAACGCTTCTGAAACAGAACTTATCTAAAGTTGAGAGCATTATGAGAACAATATGGTATAAAAATTATTATGTTACTCAAACATTTCTGAAAATATACTGAAACGTAAAACAAAAATATCGAGTGCATAAATGGAACATCAAAAGAATGTTACTGAAACCAATTTTTTGAAACGTTTCATTGAAAACCTATTTTGGGGAGGACATCTTCGGTTTCTATTGGGTTAACAGAACGTTGCATGGATTTTTTATGAAACGTTTCAAGAAAAATGGAAACGTTTCTGGAACATGTCAGAAACTGAAAAATGTTTAGTGGGTATCTATTTAAATGTACGCATCTTTGATAGCGTTGCCAAATTTAATATTTTTCTTTCATAGTTCGATTCCTCTCTTAATTTGCTAAGAAAAAGGTATACCGTATATCGATATCTTGTACTGTTTTTGTGAAAATCGAATTTTATTAACAACATACATTTTAAGAAAAAGGTATACCGTATATCGATATCTTGTACCGTTTTTGTGAAAATCGAATTTTATTAACAACATAAATTTATTGTATCAAAAATGTGCTAACATATTTGTAAAAATCTTGGTTAATAGTTAAAATGCGATTTTTAGTCATACTAAAAATGATATGTCTCAATATAAATAATACAAAAACATGTGCCTGATATACTGAAATTATTAAACAATGCAATCATCGAAAGAAATATCCTGTATTCTTGCTCTTCTATTATCATCTTTGACAAAGACTAATCACGTAAAAATACAGCTACTACAAAGATAAGGGTGATAAGGAGAAGATGACTATTTTTTGTTGTTCTTATTTTTAAAAAGTTCTGTTTACTTTGGAACGCACGTTCTAAGTATATTCATTCACATGGAAATATCGGACGTACAAAGTTGGTTGAGTTACAAAAAAGTAATGCAATAATAATTGTTCTTGCGAGAATTATATGAGGAAGGTACACAAGGTGGATAACTCATTACTGTTATTAAAAAAAATTAAACATCAATTATTATTGTGCGAGGGCTACATTTAAATACTAAAATCGATTCTTGCTCCTATCAAGTAGACTGCGTAAAAAATTTCTAATGGATGTCTTATTATACAAGGTGCAACTAAACTTTAATGACGACATAAATTAATAAATAAAGTTGAAAGTTCCTAAAACATGTGTTAAATCTTAATGAAAATAAATGGTTTATTTCAAATTCGTATTCGTATTCCATAACACTGGTGTTACTTACTTTACACCGGTGTCGCGTATAACAGCCTTGTTCAAATTCAATGTTTATTTCATTCTACATAAACATCATAGTTAAGTACCTTTGGGGCAGGCGAAGCCACGAAAACCCTTCTTTTTCTTTAAAATCTTCGTAAACATGTTTTAGCAAGAGCAGTACCATACAAACAAATTTGCAAATATAAAAGTTTGTATACACTTAATAATGTAATACACTTTTAACTTAGAAACCGAGGAAAATCACTACTTCACTAGACCACACCTCATTTCGGGCCATTTTGGCAAAATAATAAGTAAACAATTAACGATACGGTTTTGTTTTGCACACTGCACAGCTTATTGCGATTTAAACTGGCAGTACCGCGCCATTATTCCATGGCTAGAAATTGGCCTCAATGATTTGGGATCGAGGGGGATTATCCCTCTTTATCCTGCCTCATCTNGGTAAGGCGAAGGATTTGGAGTTCAGTGGAGTGATTGGGTCGGAAGGCGAACTGCTCGTCTGGAATGACTTGCAGTTCTTGGGAGTGGGTTCTTAGACGGGTTAGGATAATTTTTTCTACCACTTTGCTCATAGCCGGGAGCAGGCTAATGGGCCGGTAGTTGGATGGGATGGTGTGATCTTTGTTGGGAACTGGCAGTACCATTTTCAAAATTATGACATAGGTAATGTAGGTACCTATTTTAAACAATATCATTTCCGTTTTTAAACGATTTGGGTTAAATATTACATATTCAAAACCATAAACCACGCATAAACATGTTTTAAAAAATACTTATAAGATTCAAAGAATTTGAAATCCTAGAAAGAGAAACAGGAACGCTAGCACTACCTAACTTTTTATTTAGGAACTGCAAAGGCAAATACCTAACTTCAGTATAAATTTTGTTTTGTCTTGACCTACCACAATTAATTATTCTGAATAAATAAACGCGGCATTTTTTAAATCGTCATGCTATTTTAAACGATGTCGCCTAATATTAAAGTTTCTTCGACCATGCCGGACGATAACTTTATTTTATGTTTCATGACCTCCGATGTTCACGAACTTTTTAATTGAGAAATCAGAAAATGAAACTGGAATTCCAGTGGACACCAGAACAGATAATATCCGAGGGGAGGACTACCAGAGAAAATTTGGAAACAATCAGGACATGGCTGTCCAATTTGAATGATAAAAACATCCCTCTGAATGTACAAGACGAAATGATAGTTCTGTTTTTATTATCTTGTTGCAACGACATCCAGTTGACCAAAAACACTGTTCTCGCTTATTACAAATGTAAAAAGGAAGGTCCCGAAATATATGATGATAGAAACTTGGAAAGAACCGATATAAAACTGGCTTTAAACACTATGTAAGTTTTCTCGTTACATGTAAATGTTTTGACTTAGACGAGCGAGACACTAGAATCAGGTCTTCTTTGACCATAATATAAACAAAGAATTTCAGAAGCACAACCTGTATGAATTTTTATAACGAGCGTTCAAATAAAAACGTGGTCGAAGTTGGCTCCGACACACTGGACGTAGGGAGTAGTGGGGAGTAGCTTATAGCGACCAACTTAACCTCATTTCTCAACGAGCTGTATAGCAGCTGTCAGTTTCAATACCGTTAATGACTATATAACTTTATTTTAAAGAATAATCGTGATAACAATAACAAACAATTAAAGGAGATGCGGAAAGTGTCCCCCTCCTTGTTATAACAATAAATTAAAGCAGCTGCTGAAAGTGTCCCCCTCCTTGTTCCAAGCACTTTTCACACCTGTTCCTCAAAGAATTAAAGACATTTTCTAAGATGCTCAGGGTATTGTTAATTTCACGAATCTTGTCTATAAGTCGAGCCTGCAGATGGTTTAAATCAGGAATAGGCAGTTCAAAAATAGTGTTTTTAAGGTAAGGCCACAAAAAGAAATCACACGGCGTAATATCACATGACCTCGGTGGAAATTCATGTTCAGCATTGAGACTTATTAGTCGATTTTGGAAAACTTCCCTCAACATATTCATCGTCTCGCCTGCCGTATGTGCCCTTGCGCCATCTTGTTGAAAGTAAAAGTTTGTAATTTCGTTTTCTTCCAGCTGGTTAACAAAAGGAGCGATAATTTCTTCTCTATACCTTTGCGCAGTAAGAGTACCATTAAAAAAAATAGGTCCATAAATCCTCCTTCGATTGAGAGCACACCAAACTCCAATTTTTTGAGCGTGTAGAGGGCCCTCGACAAAAAAGTTATCTGGTTTTTCAGAAGACCACATTCTCATATTCTGTGAGTTTACGTAACCACTTAAATGAAACCAGGCTTCATCAGAAAAAAAGGTGATATTATGAAGTTCACCGTAGTTGTTTAAAAACCATTCACAAAATACAGCCCGTCGCGGAAAATCAACTTCATGAAGTTCTTGCTGACAAGTTAAACGATAGGAGAACAAACGCAAATCTTTTTTTAACACTGTGTGGCAGGTACCGACTGATACTCCCACCATTTGTGATAAAACACGTACAGAAGTTCTTGGCGCATTTTCCATTATTTGTTGGACATTTTCTTTTAATTCTTCAGTCCGCTTTTTAGGTCGGCCGCTTCCTTCTTTTCTTGTTACACTGCCCGTTTCACGAAAAACATTAACACAACGCTGAACTGCACTTTGAAAAATTTTGTACTCAACAACGCCGGGAAATTGATTTTGAAATTCTATGAAACATTCCTCAATAGAATACTTCGATATTCCATCAATCTTGCGTCCATTTCTAAAGTAGGACTCTATGATAAACACTTTTTGTTCTTGAGAAAACACCATTTTAAACCCTTTTTAAAACGAAAATATTAAAATTGATAACGGCAATATACGCTACGCCCTACGTCCAAATTTTCAGAACCAACTTGACCACGTTTTTATTTGAACGCTCGTTATTAAAGCAAATTCCAATTACTTGTTTTAAATTTTAGACACATGTCGAGCATTCCAGTAAGGACAGAAGAAAATTATGTTGTTCATTACTTTCGAGTTAACGATGCGAACTATAATAACTTCGATTTGGTTCCTATAATGAAAATATCCTACATGTTGATGGACATTAGCCAGGCGAAAAATCCTCCTAGTGGACTTATTGTTGTCATTGACATGAAAGGCGTGAGTTTACAGACAACCCTATAAAATATTTTTTGAATTGCTAAGATCACTTGTTGCACAAGACAAATGTATAGGAATTTTTTGTTTGAACTAAATGTTAAAATATCTACAGCAATGAATTTTCTGTACTTTCACTGTTAGACTGTACTTCATTGTATTTTAAACAACAAATTCACATACATTTCTTTTGCGAAATTAATAGCTTCAAGATTTTAGATATATTTTTGTGTCATATAAGCTTAATTTAAATTTAAAAAGTAATAACTAGTAAATGATTCGTCGATAAATTCCCTTTTTCATAAATATCATTATCAATAAAATGATCTTATCACATTTCCAAAATAGGCAGCATCAAAATTTTGGCATCTCCAAAACGAATTGCTTTTGGACCTTACGTTCATTAAAGCTTTCTGCCTTAAAATAATTTAAGGAACATTTAAGGCCTGAAGTTATGAAATGACCTAGGCAAACACCTTGTGCAAGTTAAATATTTTGCTCAAGATAAATAATGCTTACATATATTTCATAGAAAAACTAGGAACCTATACTACAGTGCAACTCTTTACAANTTCTGCCTTAAAATAATTTAGGGAACATTTAAGGCCTGAAGTTATGAAATGACCTAGGCAAACACCTTGTGCAAGTTAAATATTTTGCTCAAGATAAATAATGCTTACATATATTTCATAGAAAAACTAGGAACCTATACTACAGTGCAACTCTTTACAATCATGTAAATTAAATAAAATTAAAAATAAATTAATAACGACATAGACTTTTTTGATACTCGCCTTGAATATAATTTGTAACTATACAGGATGTTAATGAATAGGTGTTACAAACGGATATGGTATGTAAAAAATCCAAAAATAAGTGCAGTTTACTTAATAAACATGTCCTAAAGCGGCTCATTTTCGAGATACAGGGCTTTGAAATTTAAAAATAATAAACTATTTTTTCCTGTCGCTCCGGTATTAGTTAATATTTCTTTATCAAACTTAACAGACAGATTTACTAGCTTAAAGGATGCATAAATATGGCAGAAACCATTTATTGGCTTCTTCTAGTGGCGTGCGATAGGTGTCGTTTCACCTTTTATCCCCCCTAAATTGTGCGGCACTGTACAAATATTAGTTTTTCGTATGTTTTTGAATTTGCTAGTATTTTTTACGTAAATAATGTATACTTGTTAGACTTCCATAAAATGAGTATTATCAAGTTATTAACATTTACATTACTGAGGTCACCTTATGCTCCAAAAACTATGTTTTTCTATGCTATGCTAGTTTTCGAGATACAAAAAGTTAAAGTTGTTTAAAAGGTATTTTTATTTTGCACAAAAAAATTACAGTAAATGCTCAAAATTACGGCCACCAGTAGCGATACAAGCGTTAATTCTTCGAAGCATATTTGTGTACATTCGGTCAAAAGTGCCAGGCGTCGTTTCGATCTCCTGCGCTGCAGCTAGAATGCGTGCTACCAAATCTTCTTCTGACTCAACAGGAGTTTCATAAACTAGACTCTTCATATGGCCCCACAAATAAAAGTCAAGCGGGGTCATGTCTGGGGAACGTGGTGGCCACGCCATAGGTAATCCACGGCCAATCCATCTTACACCGAATTGTTGATTAAGGTGATCTCGGACAACAAGCGAAAAGTGCGCTGGCGCACCATCATGCTGCAGCCACATTTCCTGTCGAATGTTTAATGGCACATTTTCTAATAATTCTGGAAGTACTTGTTGTAGGAACGTTAAATAAATAGGACCTGTAAGACGATTTGGAAGAAGGTGCGGACCAATTAAGCGCCCGTCAATTATACCAGCCCAGACATTGACGCCAAACTTCTGCTGAAATCTAGTGGAGCGAATGGTGTGAGGGTTTTCTTCAGCCCAGACATGGTTGTTGCGAGAATTAAAGATCCCTTCTCGTGTGAAGGATGCTTCGTCTGTAAAAAGCACAAACCGCGGAAAATTTGCTTGCAACTGACACTGTTGAAGAAACCAATGGCAAAAGTTTAGTCGTGGCTGAAAGTCGGCGGGAGTTAAAGCTTGAACCTTTTGTATATGATAAGCGTGAAGCTGTTGCTCGCGTAAAACTTGCCAAACGCTTACATGGTTTACATGCATATTCTGAGCAATACTTCGACTGCTGGTGGATTGGTTTTCTTCTATCCTATTAAGAACTTCTTCTTCGAACCTTATCGTTCTGCGGTTTCTCCTTACCCCGCAGTTAACCCTATTTGTTGTAAAAGTTCCTGTTTCCTGCAACCTGCGAAACACTCTTCCAAATATCTTATGTGAAGGGGTTGGACGATTTGGAAATCGGATTGAGTATAACCGACGGGCAGCCCTGCCATTACAACGCGCTTGACCGTACATTAATATCATGTTTGCATAATCAGCAGAAGTATATTCATTCATGATGTATGAATGTTTTAAACGAATGGATAAAGATATCTATCTAATAATTAAAACTTACAAACTAAACTTTACACTAAAATAACAATAATAATTAAAAACTGCCTCGTTTCACAATCGAAAATAATTTGACATTAAAATACAAGTAATGTCAACGGCAAATGTTTTTTTTCCAACATTTTAAACTTGCTTGAGGAATACGGAAACCTTGAATGTTTTGTATCTCAAAAAGAAAAAGCGACACATGTATGCATTTACTAAACAATTTCGTGAAAAATTTACTCAACATGTCACTTTTTAAAAATTTTTGGTTTTTGGAGCATAAGGTGACCTCAGTAATGTAAATGTTAATAACTTGATAATTACTCATTTTATGGAAGTCTAACAAGTATACATTATTTACGTAAAAAATACTAGCAAATTCAAAAACATACGAAAAACTAATATTTGTACAGTGCCGCACAATTTAGGGGGGATAAAAGGTGAAACGACACCTATCGCACGCCACTAGAAGAAGCCAATAAATGGTTTCTGCCATATTTATGCATTCCTTTAAGCTAGTAAATCTATCTGTTGAGTTTGATAAAGAAATATTAACTAATAGCGGAGCTACAGGAAAAAATAGTTTATTATTTTTAAATTTCAACGCCCTGTATTTCGAAAATGAGCCGCTTTAGGACATATGTTTATTAAGTAAACTGCACTTATTTTTGGATTTTTTACATACCATATCCGTTTGTAACACCTATTCATTAACACCCTGTATATTTTTTTAACTGTCAATAATTGCAGTAAAGCAGCCATCTACGTACAGTGTCTTATTTTTATAAAAACGAATAATGTTTGTCGAGGAACACTGTTTTCAAACCATGTTGAAACGGCATATCGTCTGCATACAAAATAATGGTTCGATTTGAATAATTACATAATATTTACAGTTGGGTCTGATGCACCTCACGAAAATGAAACTAGGGGCCATAAAAAAGTATTTACAATTTCTACAAGAGGGTTTTCCGATGCAACTGAAAGTGATTCACTTGCTAAACGCGGTATATTTCATGGACAAAATTATGGCGCTGATCAAAGTCTTCATGAAGAGCGAACTTATTGATATGGTGAGAGACATAACCTTAACAAAGAACTATACATATTATATGGGATCGACCATTTAATATATTCATTTTTTTTTTTCAGTTAAAAATTCATGCGCCAGGTTTAGAACAAGAAAAGTTATTTCAGATGGTGCCCAAAATGTGCCTACCGAAAGAATGCGGCGGGGACTTACCTTCGGAAGTAGAGTTACATGAAAGAACATTAAGGCAGTTCAAAGAAATGCAGTCGTTTTGGAATATGGAAGAGGCAATTCGGAAACAGTGTAAATAAAAGTTGTTGCAGTTTAGTAAAATTAAATTGTTAAGTAAATGTTTTAAAAAGCAAATACTAGTATTTTTGTCTACAAATTTTTAAATTTATATTTTTCCTATGCAAATTTAAACTAATTCTTTTAGCAAAATCGCCCCATAAATTTTTTGAAATACATTTAATGTATATTATTTACCTCCAAAAATGTCTTTGTCAAGTGAACTTTTTTTAAATTTATTTCTATTTATTCTAAAGAGTAATAAGGTACACATAATGTTTTTTAAAGAAAACAGAGAACAAGAAAGTGAATATACAGGCTGTTACAAATTCGCTTTCACTACAGGGATCTCGGAAACGGTAAGAGGTACGAAGTAGCTTCAATATGGGCAAAGTTGCATAATCAGGGGACCAACATTATGCCTCTAAAAAATCAAGGCTAACATGATTAATTTTGGAAATATTTGAAAAAAAACGACATATTTGGAAATCTGTTTTTGTTTCATTTCAGCCTTGTTTGAGGTAATATTGAAAAAAGAAGAACACTTTCTCATAACCACTTTTTGTCCTCTATCGAATGGCATAATCAATTTTTTATGTAACGTTTCATCTCTCCAGGACCATCATCAACTTCATTTTTTTAAATACGATCCTGGCAATTTTTTTATACTTCTTGCAAGCTTTCATGATCCCCAATACTGTACTGCCTCAGCCCGAACTAGATTCAGACGTTTTGTCTCGAAAAATTCATCTTCAGTATATTCGTTCCAAATTTATCTAAATTTTTTAATTAGATTTCTTTGTTTATTGAATTATCGTACACTGTAAGTGTCGTTAGACTTTGTGAAATCTATCTAGTTATTTAAACTATTACCACCACTCATTAAAATAAAACATTATTAGAGTTTTATTCCCGTGCTCATAGTTATTTCTAGGCTTCTCGAGTGCTCAATATTGAGTTATGTATGACCAAGTGATGGTAATAGTTAATAATAAATGTTTTATTGTAACGTGTGGTGGTAATAGTTTAAATAACCAGATGGATTTCACAGGGTCTAATGACACTTACAGTAAACCATAATTCAACAAACAAAGAAATCTAAATAAAAAAATTTAGATAAAGGAACGAATACACTCAAGATGAATTTTTCGAGACATAACGGCTGAATCAGTACAGTATTGGAGGTCATGAAGGCTTGCAAAAAATGTAATAATATTTTTAAGCTCGTATTTAAAAAAATGAAGTTGGTGATGGCCCCGGAGACGAAACGTTACATATAAAAATTGATTATGCATTCGATAGAGGGCAAAAAGTGGCCGTGAGAAAGTGTCCTTCTTTTTTCAATATCACCTCCAACAAGGCTGAAATGAAACAAAAATGGATATTCAAAATTTCGGTTTTTTTCAAATATTTCGAAAACTAATCATGTTAGCCTTGATTTTTTAGAGGCATAATGTTGGTCCCCTGATTACGCAAGTTTGCCCCCATTTAAGCTACTTCGTACCTCTTACCATTTCGGAGATCCCTGTAATGAGAAGCAAACTTGTAACAGCCTGTATTTTTTTTTTCATTTTCTTCATTTTGATATACAGGGTGTGCCATTTAACACTCCCGCTGCCAATATCTCCGAAATGAAGAAATTTATTTTAGTTTCGGAAATTGGGGCTGTTAGATCCCTCGAATAGCTTCAAATTGTAGTTAGAATTGTTAGTTCAAATCTTTCTGTATAGATGGCGTGGCGATACTAAAAAATTGTTTGTTCCCTGGAACGTGGAAATGCAGTCCATCTGAGAGATCGTTAAATTTTGAGTAATTTTTGTAGTATAAAGTTTTTCCCTATATTTACTTGTTTTCGAGATATGTCGACTTCAATGTATGATATAACAAGAAAATCTATTATTTTATTTAAATCGCACCGAGACAAAATATTCTTTTAAAATATTGTTAGAATGACTTTATTCACATCACATACTAACTAACAAACAATGAATTATAAAAAAACGAATGATCAACTACAGAAAAAAAAATTTACAATGGTAAATCTTTAAGGGGCAGAGACGAACAGTATTTTATCAAATGTTATTAAAAAATGCAGTCATAGGTGGCTCATGACAATGACAGATGACACATTAGTTTTCCAATAATTACAGTTTTATCAGCTTGCGTCTTTCAATTTATCTATACTAGTTATAGGATTTACCATCATACAATTTTTTTTCTGTAGTTGATCATTTGTTTTTTTTTATAATTTATGTTTGTTAGTATGTGGTGTGAATAAAATCATTATAACAATATTTTAAAAGAATATTTTGTCTCGGTGTGATTTATATCATACATTGCATATTAAAGTCGACAAATCTCGAAAACAAGTAAATATAGGGAAAAACTTTATATTACAAAAATTACTCAAAATTGAACGATCTTTCAGATGGACTGCATTTCCACGTTCCAGGGATCAAAAAAATTTTTAGTATCGCCATGCCATCTATGCAGAATGATTTGAACTAACAATTCTAACTACAATTTGAAGCTATTCGAGGGACCTAATAACCCCAATTTCCGGAACTAAAATAAATTTCTTAATTTTAGAGATATTGGCAGCGGGAGTGTTAAATGGCACACCCTGTATAGTTTTATAAATGTATGCATAGATTCTCAGTAAGTGAAATAAAAAAAAATTGAATTTTGTTGATTACAGCGGCATCTACCATGAATCGAAAAAAATGTTTCAGACAAATTCTACGTACTGTTAGCCGAAGAACCTGAATCTACAATGAAAAATAGGGGTTCCTATTTAATATTTCAAAGTTACTCCCTGGGAGGAGGGGGGAGGTGGACTAATTTTTAGCGCTGATGTATTTCCTCCAGGGAATGATTTAATTTCGATTATGGACATTTTTTCATAGTGCTTATTTTTCAAAAGCTGAGCTTCGTCTTAAAATAAGGGGTGGATTAAATAATTATAGTAAATAGTATAAACAAACATTTGCAAAACTCTTTGTTTATTCTATCAAAACCAACAAAATTACATTACATATTAGACCATAGATCTGTTTAGTTGTACCTATATATGAATCTGAATTTTACGATGACTATAGAGATATCGAAGTACCATAATTTTGCAATATATATGACATTTCAAAAAACATATGCCACGTTCGCAGGGATATTCCTTTCCAAAATAAGATAAAACGCAATATATACAGCTTATGTAGCTCCATTCTTGCTTTTCTGAGATACCTGTGTTAACGATTTTCATTATTTCATTTTTTTCAAATGTCTCTAAGACGACTTTAGTAATTTGTCTAAAATTTGAGTCGTGAAAAATATTTAAAAACTTTCAGCGTTGAAAAGGTGTAGACAGCTTTATCAACGGCATGCATACATTCCGATAGTGAAAAATAGTATGTACATCACCAACTTTTTCGCTTTTTGACGATGATTATTTAGGGCGATTCAAACATACTCCAAAAAAATTTAGGTGCTTGTAAAAAAGTGTCTATTAACAAGTGTCTGGAAATGCTTTGCTTTTAAGAAGGTTAAAATTTGAAAAATAAAATCACACTTCCTAAAATATCTCTAAAGATGTTTAACTTATGATGAAATTTTGGGCTAACGATTTATTTAAGATAAAAATTTACTGAATTTGAATATGAAAGCATCAAGCAGTAGTGGATATAATGGCAGTCGCTATCAATAAAGATCCCGTAAAATTGATGCCATTGGATTTGGAAATTTTATCCCTACTTGTAACGTTTAATATTAATTCTAAGAACGATTTCTTTCATTTTATTCAAAAAGTGCAGGAAAATTGACGTATTTTTAAAGCTAGAAATTTTAAACACCGTTAAAGTTATAAATGACAAAAATACATTATTGTAAACTAGGATGTCCAATGCCGATACATACAAGGTATCCCAGAATATGTGGGCAATTTCTCGGATTTATACAGATTACGTTAAAATAACATGACAAGTTCTTATAAAAATTTTCCCTAGAGGACCCCCTACAGAGATACAGGCCCCTAAAAATCGCTCCTAAAAATCGATTTTATTTAATAACTTCTATACTTTGTGTAATTGAATTATTTTTTAATACGATGGACAACAGTGGATAAAACAATCTTCAATTCACAGAACTAGACAATGTATAACATTAGAAGGAGCTTATATCGAACAGACACAAAATTATGGAATAAAAATCATATTAAACAAAAATAGTTTTTTCTCAAAAACAGTTCATTTTATCTTTTTTTAGTTTAAGATACAAACTATCTAAAAATATTATTTTTGTGCCTTTATCATAAAAGGTGTAAAAAAAATTGACAGTATTGCGCTACAGCTATAGTCCATCCCTGGTAAACCAAATAAGTCAAATTGTTTTCATGGGTCAATTTTTAAGGAGTCCATCGTTTTAAAAAATAATTAAATCACACAAAGTATTTTAAAGACTCGGATTTTTGTAGGAACTTGTTATGTCATTTTAACGTCCCCTGTATAAATCCGAGAGATTGCCCACATATTCATGGGTCACCCGGTATATTTAATTACAATGAAATAAAGTGTCAGATGTTTCATTGAAAAGAAAGATAATTATATTTAAAAATACTTATTTTAACAGGTAACATTGAAGAAAACACATACTCTTCAAACTAATGTCCTGCCAAGCATTGAATTATACCCGCAATATCTAGTAACCAGACATATACCAATTTCAAACTTGCAAGTTCTAACCCCAGTATATATTTGGTGATTCTGCTGACGAATGATCCTAACCTTTACTAAATATTGCTGGTATAAATAAGTTCTGCTCAGGGTAATAGTCCGCAGAGGGCATTAATCCGCAGAGAAGTTGATTTCTGCAATATCAGTTAAAATTGTTTTAGGCTGCATTATCAGTGACACAGGTCTTACTTGCATAGTACCTGCAAAATAACAGGTCACTCTCTGTCAGCTTGGCTGCACTGACAGATTAAGCATTGAATGCCATTCATAGATGTAGATACTCTTTTTTGTTCATCAATCCCTGTTATCTAAGAAACTATGCAAGTGAAATAAAATAAAACTATCGTTATTCACTAAACCCTACATAGTTCAATTATTAAATGTTTACAATCTTTTGTCTTTGTAAAACAACCTTGTATCGCAGAAATGAAGAACCTACTCATAAAAATAGTTAATTTTTTCTTTTAATTTTGAGATAAGGATCCTTCCCTTCCATGCTGATGATGACGTATATTTTCTGAATATATCTCTAATACACATATATATTTTGAAAAGGACCAATTTATATTTCATATATACGCACCCATGACAAAAATTTGAAGCTGTTTCTTTAAGTACGGCTTAATCCTTAGTTTCTAGAATTACCGCCATATTTTCACCAACTTCCTTTGGTCTGTACTCCAGATCCCACAGGTTGGTAAAGACCAGCGATTCTCCACCGCTCAAAGCGATGTTCAGTTCTGGACAAACGTCTTTACAGTTCAGCCTAGGGGTCAATCTCACGTAACTCCAGCCAAAGAGTTGGCTGAAAATTGACACCCGTTCAACCAGGTCTATAGGCTTGTAGTTGGTAGTGTTGTAATCCTTGTTCCACACCAACCAGTTGTACAAAACTGGGGAATAAGTCGGTGGTAAGAACTTTGGTCTGTAGGTGAACCTGCGGAACACCCTCATAGCTTCCAAGTCGCAGTTCTGGAAGTGCAGAAAAAACTCATCGAACGATTTGACTTTCTCTAGGAGTTGCCCTGCCATGCTAGAACCTCTGTGGATGCTAGTCGACAGTCTACACGGATATGAATAATAGAAAGCATCTTCCTTAACCACGTCGTCTATAAAATTTGAGTGCTTTGGCCACTCTTCTAAACCCTTGGTTAAAATCAAAGGCACGTCTAGTTCTAGGTAACGTTGAATTAAAGTGTCTTCATCGATATCTTCGTAAACGTGAATGTTACGTATATTTTCGCAAAGGTCGCAGTTGAAAAGCAAACTTGGGGTGCTAGGAGCCAATTTTTCTATGAGACATTGTTTGTTCTTTAAGTACCTCCAATCAAAATATGGCAGAACTTTTATCAAAGCGATTCTAGCAATAGCAGAAACGTGCCAGTAAATAAAGTCGAAATATGTTAAAAAGTATACTGAGACCAATAATACCAAGATTGATACGAAGATGTAGGTAAAAGCATTAGACTTTTTTACTTTTGCTGTTAGGGGTGCAAAGATCTTTTTTATTTCTTCGTCTTTATACTTTTCGGATCTTAAGTAATCGTACAGTTCATTAATTTCGGAATTGAATTGTTGAAAAGTGTAACTGGAGTTGATCTTTCTCAAAACCATCTGAAAAATAATACAAATATCTAAATCCAATTTTTAAGATTCATAACTAATGTTAAATTTCATAGTTTCTATTGCTGACAATTATTGTCTAGTTGAAATTTGCAAATAGAGATATTATTGAAACTAAATTCAATTCTCTGTTTAAAAATTTTTCAAATTGATACAAACTTCATTTTAATTTTACTGAAATATTACCTACTGTATAGGTACAATTTCACTTACAGTTGAATATTTCTTTAAAATGAAGAGACATACCTATTCTCCTAAATATTTAAATTTGTACCTGATATATACCCAAAAGGTCATTGTACGGTCTCTGGTCCCTTTGGCAATAATTATAATCTGCTGTAAGTGTAAGTAGGTACGTAGCTAGTAACCTTGAGAATAAAGCCAATGATTTGGCAAAAAATTTAACTGTTATTGCGACGATTTCCGTACCTATGAACGTATGTACGTAGATAAGTACATTTTAATGTCGTACAACACAGACAACACTACATATCTTCATATCTACTATCTTACTACCTGCTCGAGTACCTGTTACTTATTATAAAGAAAAAGTATATGTTAAAATTCAGCATAGTTAACATTTATAATATGTTCTATATTACTTATAAGAAATAAGAAGGCAAAACAAAACGAGGTTTTCTTCAGAATGTTTGTTTGAATTTTCTTCTAAAAATACTCGACCCAGGAAATGTTTATTTTTATAAAAATTATTGTAATTTGTACTGTTTATTTGTATTATATTATTCGTTGTTTATAGTTTGTTAAATATTTAAATAAATCAATGTTATTTGTTTGCAAGACTCGTACGAAAATAAATAAGAAAAGTAAACAAGGGGCGTGCGGTGTACAGTAAAATCCATGTATTGAACTTACCCTGAGATGTTATTATGGGAAAGTCTTAAAAAAGACGAGACTTCGTTTGAAAAGCAAACAACAGGTTGTCGGAATTTTGTAATTTGGGGCTGTATAATTAATTTTTGTCGATTTACGCACGCTCCGAGTTATCGATTATTTGAAGTACTAAAATTTGCCGCCACAAAACAAATGCAACAAAAACTTTAATGGCGGCCACGCGCAATCTCAGTCGAGACTTGTCAGTCAGTCTTGACAGACACTACCCGCAAATGCTGGTTATACATTTGTTTGTTATCAAAAATATCAATTTTTTAAACAATTCACACGTGAAAATCAACGGAAACAGACACTGTATCATTGTCTGAATGTAATAAAACAGAAATCACTTGAATGTGATTGTAAAAACAAAAGAAAAACGCGTTCTACGGTTACGTCACTAGGCCATTTTGTATTTGGTGAAATCTTTGTTCGCGAACGGGTGAAAATAAAAGGTTTTTCGTAAACCTCGTGTTCTTGTTTTAAAGTGTTTACATAAAATTCATCAAAATTCCGGTGCCTACGAGAAATAGGGATCCCGGCCATTACGGTAACGGTGACATGAACAACAAAAGGAAAAATCGAGGAGGCCCTGTAAGGTTAGTAACTTTTCTAAAACAAAAATCGGATCAACAATAAAAACTCGTTCATTTAGGGGTTTCACACTATTTACCCTGTGATTCACTTACAACGTGGCTTCAGTATAAACAAAAGAACCCAAACATGTTTATATAAATTATTTTCATGTTTTTTTGTGTACTTGCCACAAATATATATTATTTTCCTTTTAAATGTACATTTGAATGTATTTAAAACGTATTGTTGTTTTTATTCAGTTTTGAATCCTAATTATTAATGATTTTAATAATACAGGAATTACTTTTTACATTAATTAAGATTGTGTTATTATTTGAACTAATTTATTATTCATTTTTTAATTTGGTTTATAGTTAGGTACTAGATTTTTTAATTTTATTGTCTGCCTATCTATGTTCTCCAAGTTTTATATTTTCAGGGCCCAAAGAACGAGATCTGTAGCAGTAGAAGGTGTCTACAATAATGCTCATTTCATGCATGCTGCTACTAGCCAAATAGGCAATATAGTTCGTATTAAAACAGCCTCAGGATCAGTATGGGAAGGTACATTAATATTACTGTCATCACTTTGTGCTCTATGTGTTTTACTTCTTCCTCTTTCTTACTTTTAACAAGATAAGTCCTTATTCACTTTTATATTGGTATTTTTCATGTCAGATAAATTAATATACATGCATAACTGATAAGTAGTATGTAGGAATACATACAACTTTAATTGAATTTTAAAACAATGAGTAATATGCAACAGCATAGTTATCACTTCGTATTTTGCCATAGCGACAAATAAACAAGCGCAGAATTGTGTACAAAATTAATTTGTTTCTGTAAACTACTTGACCTAAACCAACTAAGTTTTATGTTGTCTAAAGAAGTTGTTTTCCTTATCATTTGAAAACTCATAACTTTTAAGTGTTTATAAACGTTAATAATTGAAAATAACCAAATAAAGAGATGTAATAATTGTTGATGAAATTGATTAATTGAAATTATTCTCAAGGTGGTATTATAATTCTCAGTGCAGTATTTGTCTCCTTTTGAGAGAACTGGTTCCATTCATATAATAGACAAACATGTTTTTAAATCATATTAGTGGAATGCGTTTGATGTATTTGTTTTTAGAATTGATAATTAGAGTTGATAATTTTTTTTCTATCGAAAAGTATGTAGCACTAAACATTTTATTATCTTTCTAATTTATCTTTTATCCTTATCACGATTGCCCCTTGTAGGTGTATTTAAGACGTTCTCAAGCAGTTTTGAGGTAGTGCTAGAGGTGGCAGCCAAAGTAGATAATCCCGAAGGGCCCAATTCCCAGATACAGGCCGAGACATGCGTAGAGAAGCTCATTTTTAAGCCTAATGATATTCTAACAATGGTGGCGAAAGACGTAGATCTAGATTACCCCACTCGTGATACGTTTCAAACCGATACTGCCATATCTGCACGACTCAACGGTACGTACATAAAAGAAACCATCGTCAATATCAAATAACTAAATTGACACTTACTTTAGGTACCGCTAAGCTGGAGGAGAGGGAACTGGAACCATGGGACTCGGGCGTGAACGGCGCCGACATGCCCTTAGAATTGGATGCCGCCAATGGGTGGGACGCCAACGACATGTTCAAGAAAAATGAACAGGAGTACGGGGTACAAAGCACGTTCGACCAATCCCTGAGGGGCTACACGGTGCCGCTCCAGCAAAGCGACACTGCCGATTACAAAGAGGCAGAGGCCAAAGCTAATCTGATCGCCAGCGAGATAGAGAACCAGCCCACGCACAAGGCGAGGCTGGAGCTGGAGAACGGCGACGAGGAGGCTGCCTACGCGGCGGTCGTCCGACCTCATCAGGATTCTAACGCCAACGGTAAAGTATTAGAAAATTGTTGATCGTTTTTGTACTGCATTCTATTCATTTGAACTACTTGTACTTGTTCATTTGAGCTACTGGTTCTTGCATTTTGTTAATATATTATATACCACGTGCTTCATTTTTGTAGGAAAATATATACCTCCAGCGAAAAGAAAGAGTCAGAACAATGGAAAACTAGTTAGAAGTACGCCGCCACCTAGTCAGAGCAGTAGTAGTCAAAATACACCCTCCCCAAAAGAAACTAGGCCTCCCGTTAACTACCCCATGCATCCCTCTCCGCATCAGAACAGTGTACACGTTCAGCAAGGTACTTATATTACATTTATTAGCATTTCTTTAGCCTTTATATGTATAGAGTGTTCTGATTTATAGGTATCTCAAACTATTTTATTTTTTTAAATTTATCTTAAATAGGCACATATTTGGGACTGCTACGATTTTTTTGAGGCTCATTTTAAAAAAATATAATTTGGTAATTTTTTTAATATGAAAACATACCATATTGTTACCCCTTACAATGTCTGTACTAGTTTTTATAAAATATATTTATTTCCAAATGTGTATATGTGTAACAATTCCTAGTAATTTTGGTTCTTTTTTTTTGTTTTTCATATTTTTTCTGAATTAATATCGAAGATTGGGAGCAATTTGCAATTATACATGAATGATCTACTATTTCTTTCAAAATATGTATATATTAAATACTCCTCTTTATTGCTTTTTACCAAAAATCAATGATTTTCTCAACCAGCAATATGGACTTTGTTTAGACTAAAATTGACAAGGAAACAAATTTTGTACCTGAATGCGTTTCCCGGGCCATCAGGGCTACCGTATTTTATTCTTCGACACTGGCTCTGATCCTTTCAGAACAATATTGCAATGAGAAAATTTAATTTGAAAATTTCAAGATTTTTATTTACATCTGCGGTAACCCTAACGTTTAAATAGGCACTGCCCACCGTAGAGCTATCATAGATCAGTTTGTAAGCACTCGCCTAGCAATCCGAAAGATGTTGATTGAAATCACGGGTGGATCAGATAATTTTTTTTTTCAAAAGCGCCAATGTTTTAGTAAATTTTTAATTTTACTGAAAGGAAATATGTTTAAATACTTTTGTACTTTGCTATATTAAATATAATGTAACTCATTTGGATTTACTGTCAACTCAATATGTACGAGTTAACTTTTCCATCTACAAAGTCCGTGTGCAAATATATTTTATATATAGATTGTTTAACGTCCTTTGTGGAGTGTACTGAAAATAAAGTCAGGGGAAGGCATTTAAAGGAAAGTAGAAAAATTAGTTGTCAATATTTTTCGAATATTTCCAATCACTAATACAATTCTTCTTAAATTTGCCCCAGAAACAAATTATAGCAGGCACTTTTGAGGAATACTTTCCGAAGAATGTGCCTTTTTAGGACCTATTTAATATGAAATATCTGAATTTTGTTTTTTTTTTACTTATTAATGCTTTGTACACCTGTAAATCGGGACACCTTGTGTATACCTGTACCCTTGAGTACACATTTGTTATTACCAAAAAGAAAAAAAGTAAAAATAGTTTTCAAAGTGTGTAAAATTTTACTGATACGAGTTATAGATGCATGCTTTCGGCAAACGAAATTGTCATCGGAGCTAATCATCGGTTATAAATACCTTCTAGATAAAAAAATCAACACTGTTGTGGAATTGTAATGATTATTTGACTTCATTGTTGATATAATTATGTGCAGCAAAATTGTTTGTTCATTTTGTATGAATTTCTTGTTTTTACAAATTCTAAATGTATATTCTGTCAAAAAATATCAGGAATTTGTCAATAAAACACAATATATTCAATTAATCATCAAAATTTATTGTCTCAAAATATGCTCAATTTGAAGCAATACACTTTTTCCAACGAACAACCCACTCGTCAAAGCACTTTTTAAACTCATATTCCGGTATGGACCTCAACTCCTTCAACAATTTTCTTTTTATGACTTCTATCGACTCGAATGTGTTCCCCGAAGGGGTTATTTGAGTTTGGGTAAGAAGAAAAAGTCAGCAGGGGCCGTACCCAGCGATTACTGTGGGTGCTCGATGACATTCGTTGACATTTGTTGTTAAAAATTCATTCACAATTATCGCTTTGTGTGATGGTGCATTATCGTAGTGCAAAATTCAAGAATTATCTTTCCATAAATGTGGTCTTTTGGGACGGATACTCTCTCTCCCAAACCAGATATAATATAAGATACCAGATATATAATGCCCAGATAATATTCTTTGTTGACTGGTTCTCCGTCCGGAAGGAATTCTGTGTAGACAACACAATGGTAGTCGAAGAAAACAGTCAATATAACTTTAATTTTAGATCGACTTTGACATGTTTTATTTTTTAGTTTCGGCTCATTAGAAAAGCGCCATTCGGAAGATTGTTGACTTGTTTGCATGTCAAACTCGTAAATCCATATCTCGTCACCCGTTATGATGTACTGCATGAATGTAAAGTCTGAATTACGCCATTATTCTATGGCTAGAAATTGGCCTCAATGATTTGGGATCGAGGGGGATTATCCCTCTTTATCCTGCCTCATCTCGTGTAGGCCTGGACAGCCTTCGTAGGTGGGCNAGAAAATGAATAAGAATAATCTTTTCATTTTAGTATCAATTCTAATAAATAATAAAACGCAATATTACACAACACTTTTAATTTAAATTTTTAACTTAACTTTTTCCTTTTTCTCTGTTTGGTCACTATAATTTACTTTATCATAAAAGTAATTAGAAAAGTAATTAGAAAAGTAATTGCTAAATCCATTTTCCATGTAACTGTAATTAAATTAATATAATTCCTTTTTTAAAGAATATACTTTGTAATTGTAATTAGTTCCTTTTTTTAAAAAGTAATTTGTAATTGTAACTATTTTTAAATTACAAGTAATTACCCAGCTCTGCCATTCGCCACGGTAAAGTAGTCGGTCGAGAGTGCAGTGGCAAGCATTTCTCAGCCAGGCTTCCTATTCTGATCCGGGTTCAATCCCTGGCGTCGGCACTAGCAATATCAATTGAAAATGGGTGTTTGTCCGCGTTTTTTCAAGTGTAGTCCCCTTACGCACAGGCTTTGGATTTGGGGGTTGTACAATTTCTGTGGTATGTTTTGTTTTTTTTTATTCCCATCTTGAGCTTTTGATAAATCTGAATTACTGTATATCTTTCCTAACATTTTCAGTGATTCAGCACGAGAAATTCCATTGGTAATGTTTATGGGCTTCAATTTTTTCTCCCTTTTTGGTCTTGTCTCTATTAAAAAATAACAACAAAAAATGGCTTCCGCTTTTTCAACATTTCATCGTTTTTATTACATCTTTATAAGTAAAAAATTGTAAAGGATTTTCTAACTGCGCCTTTTGGGGAAGATATTCCATTGTCGCATTATTTAAAAATCTGTCGATGTCTGTGCGATGATACGCTTGATCTTTCAGCGCCCCACAACCAACAGCACATCCACAACGCCAACATGCATCCCCCCCAGATGCCCATGCAGCAACAGCCGCAACAGAACGCCATGCCGAACCATGGCCGGCCCCACTCCCATACGCCTCCCCACCAATACCAGCCGGCTGTCCAGGTCCGACAGGCTCCTCCGATTCAGCAGCAGCCACACGCCTCCAAGCCTCAGATGAACGGGGAGGCCAAGCCCATGCCTCAACGTCAGCAGCGAAACGCTTACAATCAGAACCAGCAGCAGTACCAGCACGATATCAAGAGTCAGGAAATGGTGAACGTTTCTAATCACCCCCCGAGGCACAGGGATGATACCGTCAAGGATCTGCACGCTTTCTCGCAGGATTTCAAGCTGGTGTCCGGGCCAAACGAGCAGCAGCAGGTGCAGGGGCCTCCGCCAGTCATCGAACAGGTGGGTTAGGTAATCGAGATGAGAGTGAAATGATTTTTTTATGTAATTACGATTATACAATATACGAGGAGTAAATATCAGTAAATTTTGTATTTCCCATAACATTAAATAGTTTAAAATTGCTACCACTTAATCGAACAATTAAAAATACCAATACCAGTTTTTATTAAAATGTCGGTGTGTGTTAAAAATAACACAACGGTTGTCAAATATCAAATCGTCTCCTTTCGGAAATATAAATACTAACAATGAGTTGAATATTCCAGGTTCCAGTAACGTATCATTTTTATTTATAACTTTAGTGGCGTTTAATGTATCTAGCTTTGAAATTACATTGATTTTTCTGCATTTTTTGCTGTAACACAGCTGTAACGATAAATGACCTTGAGTTTTTTTTAAATTACGTTTCAAGTATGTATCAAAGTTACTTTGAACTTACTAATAACATTTGCAACTTGTCTGAAATAATGTTATGTCAATTTTACTTGTAATTAACGTGTCTATAAATACCATGAAATAAAATTTAATATAAAATAATATAATATCTTTTAAATTTTAAAGAATTATATGATTATGTATCATGAATACAAAAATATCCATAATATAACGCATAAATTCAGTAAAAATTCTTTTTTTGAAAAATGCTTGGAAATTTTTGTTTTTAATTGGTATTTTTTTTTTAAAACTGATACAACAAACTGATTTCAAATTTATTATTTCTCATAGGTCATAGGAGAGACATCCGACAAACAATTTAGCTCTTTTTTTATGTCTATCCAGTCATGTTTTGAGAGTGGATGAGATATAACGTACAAAGTTTTTCATGTCTTATATGACGTTACTCAATACCTACAGGCAAGGCAACCTATCAAAGTACGATTCTTGGAAGTCTATCTCAACAAATATCGTACGAATTGTGTATATTGTACTTTTCCTTCAAAAGTTGTTGATATTTAAAAATTAACATCTGAATCCTTTAGGATTTTAATAAATGTTAATTCTAGCCACCTTTTATCCGCAATTGACTGTTTTAATACTTTGGAGCAGTGGCGGTTTGTGACATTGAGGATAGGTGAAGCGTATTCATTGATTAACTAAAAAGAAAAATTTTCAACGTCAAACGACTTTAAATTAATCTGGAAATTTTTAGTTGCATTTGCAATATTACCGAAAAACTGACGTACACTAGAAGGATTTTCATTTAGATTTTATATAAAATAGAAATATTAGTTCGGATTGTAGACTTCTGCGAACATTAACGCACACCGTACATGTATGTTCCAAAGAACCTTTGTGGTTACGACAACCTCACGTGACTTTCTCAAAATTGTTAAATCCCTTCTTATTCCACACGCCCGACTTTACATCCACAATTAAACATAGCATACAGAAAAGTTTTTTTAAATGAATACTTCCACGCAACCACTTATACTCCAAATACCATTTATTTCGAACGTACACATTATCTTTTGACTTACCCTTTTTTTCTATATCGAGAGAATAAGGCACGGGTCTCTCTCAATTTAAAAAATCCTTTTTGTCCTCAATACTCCATCTGGAAAATGGGGTTTCTAATAAAATACATACTGGATCATACATAGGAAACATTTCTACAATTATTATACAAAACAAATACTAACAAAGAACGGTTGTAATCGTGTACTGGGCGACACATATCGTATAAACTGTTAAAGGCAGGTGATGGGCGATGCTGCTTCAATTTCTGCGTCACTCGTTCCCCCATGCCATAGTTTACTCACGTGTTGGGTGTTGGCCGCCTTGTTGCCATAATAACCGCCGTAAACAAGGCTACAAAGAGAAGCAGAACACAGACTGATTTCAATCTGAGTCACTTGCGTATACTATACGTTGTATGGCTCGAGGTTGATGTTCGCGCTCAACGAAGGCAATGTTTTTTAAGAAGGCGTTCACCTCGCAACTATTCTTTTTATTTCTGCGTATTTAGCAAACAAACACAATACATTTTCAATATAGAATTATACCTAAATTATAAAATTTATATAAAATTAAAAATAATTTTAAATTGCACAACCAAACGGAAATTTTAGGTGAAGCGGTGACCTGACAAGCCGCCACTGCTTTGGAATGAAAAAGCCAGGCCATGGATGTCATTTATTATCGGAGTAATAACAGTTGTAGTTTCTCAATAATATTCTATGAATAAATTAAGAACAAATTCCAAAATTGACATAATGTAAAAATAAACTATTTACCAGTTTAGTGCTTTTTTTCATTAAAAATGTCGTTCTGCGATACTACCTCTTTCTTTTATTTCTCATTACTAGGTACAAAAACATTCTGAAGGAAAAAGTCTATGATTCATTAATTCATTAAAAGATTCTTCCAAAGAGCTTTTCCGAAATGATATAAAAATGACCACTTCCCTTTAAAAATATACAGAAGAAACTAAATCTATGACACAAATAAATAATTGCAAACAGTAAACAAAGGTATTTTTCCATTTAAGGTTCCACAAGTTCAACCACCAATACCCCCATCAAATAAACCCCCTCAACAGGCATCACCCCCACAACCCCAACAGTCGATATCGCCCCAGCAAGAAAATATCGAAAAAGTGACACACGCTGTAAAGAAGTCGACCCTAAATCCAAACGCTAAGGAGTTTGTTTTGAATCCAGCAGCTAAACCTTTCCAACCTAGGTAAATAATTTTTTTTTTTTTTTCAACAAAAATGAAAACTACATTTTGTTACATTTTTGCGTCAGATCACCAAGTACACCCTCTGCTAGTAGACCGCACACTCCTCAGACCCCGAGTCATAGCCCCTACATCCCGACTACAATGAACGGTCCCGGAGTACAACCGCAGATGCCCGTCATGATGTACCATGTGATGACGAGCCAGCCGCAGTACCAGGCACCGCCGCAGGGCAGCAGAATCAAACGAAGTAAGTGACATTTCCATTTATGAGTTTCACTACTTGTTCTTATAACGCGATCTGGATCCCTGTGCAGGGAAAGTATGTATTTTCATTCATAGAATGCAAATTGATAAATAACACATCGGTCAAAAAGTCCCGGACTAACTAACCCATCGATAGCGCCACTAATTAAAGCAAACGCATCAAAGTTTAGTGACATTTCGACCATTACTTATCGAGATATTGAAGTTTTAGTGATGCTACTTTTGACATTTTCAAAACAATGGACAAACTGAATTTCGTGTGATGATGGGCAAAAATACCGTTTGAGCTCAGTAATGGCTTGAAAAGTGTTATAAGGAACCTGCTCAGTCGAAAACAACCGTTTGTCGGTGGTTTACTGAGTTTAAATAGGGCCACACAGACATCGTTGATGCTGAACGCTCAGTATGTCCAAATGAGGTGACAACATCAAAAAACATCAGAAAAATCCTCGAAATCGTGTCGGACAACCGTAAAATAAGTTGCATTTTAAAGATATTAAAACGCAGTGTATACTGTCTCCTGCAACTTCATTTTACAGTTGTCCAACACAATTTTGAGGATTTTTTTATGTTTTCTGGTGTTGTTACCTCATTTGCACATCAATTGAAGGTGATGTTTGAATTATTTTATAATCATTGCCTTGTTCGATATGAAGTTCAGCAGAATGTATCTAGTCACCAAAAAATATTGCATTTTTTAGATGAAAACTAAAACTGTATTTCGTTAGATTTCTTTGAAACAAGAGATATTTGATGGAACGAAAAGTTTCTTGAACAAAATAAGCATATCGATAAAAATGTATTTTTTGAATTATTTCTTACTAAAACGGAACCTTGAATAGTACGTGTAAATTTTTTGTCACAATATACAATATTTTAATTTTGAGATTGCTTTGATAAATCTTTTTAGGCACATAAAAATGACCTACATATACAAAACTATTATTGTAAATAAAAATTGTCATATTTCGAGCATTTTTTCAAAACATTTTTTATTTTTAACGTAAACGTTACTTTATGAACAGATATATAGCTTATACAGTCTTCAGAAATGATTACAATTCAACGAATCAGCGATTGCATTGTCTCGAGCATAGACACAATGGTTTGTCATTGTTCATTGTAAACGAATTATTAATATTGATGATGCTAAGATTTTGGGATTTTTAGTTTTTTAGTTGACAGTACCAGTTGTGGAATGTTGGGTTGCCTAAGCTCGGTGGTCACGTGGCTTGTAATCATTTATGAAGGTTTTACGACTTAAGTTATACAGGGTGATTCAGAACTTATCCAAAAAAAAATTTTGGAGGTACAGGGGACTCTTACAAATACAATTTTGTAAAGAAAATATCAAAACGGGCAGTTCGAAAATGATTTAAAAATACAACTGCACGGTACTGGAAACTGGTCCACTGTAAAACCTGACGTCGCACAATGCAACCGGCATGGCGGCAAAGTGTGATAAAAACGTACGAAAACTTTCACAAGTAAAGAAATAAATAGAATTTTATAGCACCTATTTTATGTCAGCAAATTCAACTGCTTTTGCCATTTTTGTTATTATTAATTAATAAAATTAATTTGTGGTTTTAAATAATAAAATAATTTGACATACCTGATGTTACAACAACTGTTCATTTTAAATAATAAAATAATTTGACATACCTGATGTTACAACAACTGTTCAAACTTTTATCCACTGACGTGTAAACACAAATATTGTCTTGCTTCACCATAACACAAATGCTTCACCATAATACAAATGTTGTCTTGCTTCACCATAAATTAAAACGATATGCTTCAACTCCGAGTTGCTATACATGCAAGCCATTTTTGACCCTAACTATTAAAAAACTATTGTAAACACCACCACAGTAAACACTATCGCAATGATTACAATTGTAAAATCGGATTTCAGTATTCGGAGTTGCTGAGGCCATGTGGCTCTATACGCATATTACGAATGACGCTAGAGTTGTCCAGCCATGTAATGGTTGAATGTACTATAACTTCAATAATTTTTTTCTCGGAAACTAAGGATTTTACAAAAAAATTTTTTACGATATTGACTCCATTTCTCGCATCGCATCCCCAAATTTTTTTGGATAAGTTGTGAATCGCCCTGTATAGAGTGAAAATGTTTAACCCTTTCGCCACTAAAGGGCATATATGTCCCAAGGCATTTTAGGTTTCAAAAATACGGTAAATTTTTTTTGAAAATACGTTTTTTTGTATAACTATAATACTTTTATAGACCCTCAGAACAATTTTATTCAATATTATCTTTTTAGCATGCCACATTTTTAAATTTTAATAATAATTTTTTTAAATAAATTTTGAAGTTAACTAAGACTGGTGTTAATAAGGTGGACTGTTGTGTACGCGAATATATACCTGGTACTAGCAGCACGGTTGGGACAGTTTGAATAGGGATTTATAATGCATTGGTATGCTTGCAGTGTTTTTTAAAATTTCCTTGGGACATATATAACCCAATACTATTTTTAAAGCAGAAAAAATTATATTGTAGCCGTAGCGAAAGGGTTAAAGGAACGCCAGTAATAATTAGCGAATAAATTAAAAAATTAAATTTATTAAAAACCTGTAACTATTAATTCCGCAGTACCAATGAGCCAGATGCGCACCGACATGGCCTCGCAGATGCAAGTCGCCGCCGCCACCGGCCAGCCCCTGCTGGCGCCAGCCCCCCTACAGCAATTCATCTACCCGCCTAGCATGAACCAGGCCTACCAGCCCATGCCGGCAGCGGTCCGCATGTACGACACCTCCCCCCAAATACAATACCTACCGCCTAACCCCCATCAATCACAGACCCCCTCTCCCGCTCAACCACCGCAATACAACCCGGCGCAGGGACCCCAGGCACCGCCGCAGCCCTGCCAGGCCGCCCCGCCGCCGCAGGGTCACCCGCAGTTCCCCCTCATGTACCCCTTAATCCCGGCCCAGCCGCACATGATGCAGAGCATGCAGTATCTGCAGCAGGCGCCCCCACCCCCACAGCACCCCATGCCGGTGCTGATGCACCAACATCCCGGACAAGGTAACCACCACGGGCCCAATCCTTAGCGGTAAGCCCGGCCGTTTTGTTAGGTAAATTTTAATAATCCTGTTTTCGCCCCTCTTGGTCTTTTTGTTTCCTTTTTACATAAAAAGAAGGGAGGCGGAGCGTTGGCGTTGCAGATTTTTTATTTTTATTTTTATTTTTTGTTATTTATTTGTGTAGATATTGTTCTACTTGGAGTTAAGGTGTGATGCAGCTTATGCGTCTTTTGTACATATATTTTTTTCGTGGAGCCATCCTTGTGTCTTTTTTACCTGAAATTGAAATGTTTTCAGGTTTTACCATGAAGTGATTAACTCCAAAGCGGTGGTTCTGACGTAACTTTTTTAATAAGATATATCAGTGATTTTTTTTATCCAAAAGTCAATATAATTCTAATTTATCGTCCCTAGAATGCCTCTCTACCAAATTTGAACAAAATGTCTTTAAAAGTACTCGAGATACGGTTCCCAACATTTTTTTATTTTTGTGTAACTGTTAAGTTCTATACTATTGAACTTAAATAAACTTTTCCTTTTGCTTTTTGTTTTTTTTTATAAAACTGCAATTCTGGAGTAGGTAATTTTTTTTTTATCTAGTTGGTAATAAAAATTTAGCATGGAAACTGCCCCTAACATTTTCACACTTATTGAAAATATTCATAACAAAAATACGTGATAGAAGAACAAAGAAAATAATATAACAACGTTAAATAATTCTCTCTATATCAGCTATTCAACGTCCTTTTTTATGCATTCTTCAAACCCTTCACCACTTTTTACACACTGCGTTATTTTATTTTCTAAGTCCTCCCTAATACGAAGTTTGTCCTTTTTTAATAGTGTTGCAGAAATGGAGATATTAGTTATTTAATGTTGTAAGTTTGTTTCTTAATGAAAATATTTTTAATAATGTGAATATATTAAGAAATATATGTTCCGACACTGATCTTTTTAAAAGTTAGAAAAAAGTCTTCAAGAATTTGATGAGATTTGATGAAACAAAAAGTAAAAGGAAAAGCTTATGTACCATATCTATAACGGTTATACTAAATTAAAGAAACTAAACATTTGGTTATTCATATCTTGAGCACATTTAAAGAATTTTTTTTAATTTGGTTTCTATAACTTTAATATAAAAAAAACGCTTATATTTTTTAAAAGTCCGCCAAATTTTTAATTTAGAACCCGACGCCTATGGCCAAAATCAAATGTGGTAATACCAGAAGTTACATTGCTTGGCAGGTAATTATTTTATAACAAAAAGTCAAAATGTTTGAATTTAAAATAACCGAGATATAAGAGTGGCTCCATAAAAAGGGAGACAAGTTATACTTATATCATATTTTTACTATTAAGTTGCTTCGGCCCTGAAAAATGTTCTTATTTTTCGTAAAAACACTGCATCATATTTGAATAACTCGCAAAAAATATGCGTTAGTAAATTTATTGATTGATTTTATATAAATTAAAGGTATTGTATATAATTCTTCCCTGTATATTTCTAGCAAAGAAAATATTAATTTAAAATATTGCGATTGAAATTGATTACAATTTTTTTTTAAATAAACACGAATATCGTAAGATACTTGTCATTACATTTACTTTTGTTCATTGCCGTTTTTAAATATCAAAGTTAGATTTTCTACGAAATCGGGAAGCGAAATATTTAAAACGAGTAATCGCGCCTTAATTTTAACGTACAACATTACTCAAAGTAGATCTGAGGTAGCTTAATTGTGAAAATTCTGCGACGTCGACCATCGGCCTTTGCCCACTGTTTGTAACACCCCTTTCCAAAATTTGTTATTTTTTTTTGTTATATTCTTTTAATTTTGTTAATTGTTATTTTCTAAAGATAGAAAAAGGTTCCCCCAAATATTTAGGCCACTTCAGTTGTTAGGCAGGTGGGAGATTGGTAGTTTTCGTGTACGATTTTTCTAGCTGCATTCTTCCTAGACAGTCAATATGCAAAATGTTGAGTGAAGTATTATTAAGGTACGCAAGAATTGTATACGGAAACCGGCTTCCCACTTGCACCTAAAAAAAAATTAATTGGCCTTGTTTTTTTCCACTGGCCGAATTTTGTAGAAGTAATTTTAAAAAAGTTATCAGCGGTAATATGATTTGGCAGTGAAAGACTCCATTCCATATTTTTTAACATACATATTTTTTTTTTGAGGTATAGTTATTCAATTGAAAGCAAATCATTGTGCTGAAAAGTCAGTCAGAGCTGGGCTTAACTGAATTTTCAATTTTTTTTTATTGAAATAAAAATTGCGGCACCACTATTATAATGCCTCGTTTACGTTTTTTGAACGACAGGCAAGGAGGTGCTTCGTAGATACTAAGGTGCCTTAACATTTATTTTTTATTAATTATCGATGAAGACCTATCTGGCACCTCGAAATGTATTTTTTTTTTTACTTAGTTGATCTAAGTACCATTCACAAGTTGAAAATTTGATCGATATTGGAGCGAGAAAACTGATTTTCTAGCTATTATAATTTGATTTTCATCACTATTTTCTAAAACTCGCAAAATAATCTAACGACAGTCGGTTTTTGGATTATTTTGTCTCATGTTATTTCAATTAATTTTCGGAAAGCTTTGTCAAAATTTATTGAAGCAGCAGTTACAAATGTTACATAAATGTTTTTTTTTTTTCACAAATAAAGTCATTTGAGTTTATTTGTAATCTCTTGTTTTATTTTCTACCAACTGCAATCTAGCAAAAAAAAATTCCACAGCGTTGGAAATATTCGAAAATGTCCACTCTAATTCCAAAATAATAGGCAATAAGTCAAATAAATCAAATCACAATTTTTACTACTTTTTAATTTGTTAAAATGGTTTTTTCTATTCTGCATTACATTACTTATTTCTATCTTTGGTTATTGTCCCGTCAGGTTATAAATGCTAAAATTGTAAGAATGTGAAATATGCAGTAAAAAAATAAAATTTATAACGACAATAAATATTTAATCCATAGGAAGATTCACTGACATTATTTTAAAAAGAATCTTTCAACAAAAGGAAATTCAAAGTGGATATAGCAATGCAGATGTATTTTTGTACCAAATTCAACATCTCGTTTATTATTGAATAACTTTTGGAGCCCTCTAAAATAACACCCAAAGGAATCGTATTCCCTCACAATCTATGTGTTGAAAATGAGTCGATGCCTATCCTATTCCTAGTATTTTGGACCTGGAATAATCTTTATAAACGTATGTCCATGAGGAATTAATGATGGTACACCACTGGTAAGAGTAGTTCCATTGATTACATAAACTCAATAGTAGTTCTACTGTATTGCGTTGTTGATTTACCAATTGCTGTCAAACTGTCAACGATCAGCTGTTTACACATAACCAATCGAAATAATTTATTAATAACAATTGAAATGATTAAAAATATAACCTGTATTTGACAGGTTGAATAGTTGGGGATAGAAGGTATTGTTGACTAACTATGATAGTGATAGCATTGCTAAAAAGGGGCCTTATTTCTGCTAAAAATTTGCGATTTCTATCCCAAATTAAACCCATACAATCAGGTTTGTACTCACAAACAATAATCCTTATGTTAATTAGATTTTTTTTAGAGCAAGACCATTGCCCTCCCTATTTTCAGCTATGTAAGGAATTTACAGATAATACTGACTTGGCAAAGAGCCTTGTCAATAGCATGACTGTTCATAATGACTTTTTAAGCGAAGATGAAGAAAAATCTATCTTAGACGAAATAGAACCTTACTTAAAACGTATGCGTTATGAGTTTGACCACTGGGATGACGTAAGTCTTTATAACTAGCATTTTGGGAAATATTTAATCGCTCGTTTCAGGCAATACATGGTTATCGAGAAACAGAACGTTTGAATTGGAATGAAGCCAACACTAAAACGCTAAACAGAGTAAGAAGTATCGCATTTCCACCGAATGTAGCCCAACTGAAGTTTGTACATATATTAGATTTAGACCAAAAAGGGTATATCAAGCCACACATTGATGCAGTCCGGGTAAGTAAACGCAGTAATGCGCATTTTTAATATCTAAAGTCCGTGTCTTTTAGTTCTGTGGGGACACCATTGCAGGTCTGAGTTTATTAACTGACAGTGTGATGAGACTTGTACACGACAAAAATAAGCACCTTTATGCAGATGTTTGGTTAAAACGCAGGTCTTTGTATATAATGAAGGACACTGCGCGGTTCGATTATACACACGAAATTTTAAGTAATGAACACAGTGTGTTTAAGGGTGGAAAAGTATTAAAAGATAGAAGGATATCCGTGATTTGTAGAAATGAACCAGATCCTAGGAATAAAGACTGAGATAAGTACAAAATTTTGTTTTATATACTTCTGTTTGAGACTTAAATGTAAACCAAGATTTTATGGGAAGTTTGAATAGTTTTTTCAAATATTACTTTCAATCGTATTTTTCGAACCTTTAGCAGTGGGAATCAACTTTAGTAGTTAAATATGTCTAGTATTATCAATAAAAATATTTAGAAATCAGTTAAACACAATTTTTTTTCTTTAAATTGTACAAAATATAAAAAATTTATATAATAAAATTTTAGTACAGGAAAATATTAATACTGAGCATCATATGTCCTTAATCAAAAAATTGTAACTGAAAGTACATAGTTTTTTCCTTAAACGATTATTTTTACAAAATTTCAGTAGCAGAATCGATACAATAAACTTTACTATATGAAATGTCCACTATTAATATAACACAAAAGTTATCACATCGTTAAGGCTCCTTTAATCCAATCCAAGTATTTAGCTACGTCTGTAAACACAACGTAATGCATAGCATCGCACTTAAATTGATTTTGTAATGCCACGCTTATAGAAACCATTCCCCTGAGGACCCAAACCGGGTTGTTTGCGTTTGTCCCTGGCTTAGGGAACACTAGGCCTCCTCCGGAATCACCATTGCACACCGACGTACCTATGGAATATGTTGAAACAAATATTTTACCAAAATTTGTAAAAATTAAATTGTTGTGTCCTCGGATATCACGATATTTATCTTTGTGTATTTTAACACTTACCATTTTTAAATCCGGCACAAAATGTGAATTCAGAAGTAAACCTCGAGTAAAAGTCGGGGAAGGAATATATACAAGTCTCCTGGGAAACCACCGGCATCTGCGCTTTGGTCAATTCTTCCGTGACTTTTCCGTTTTCGTCGAATCCCCAACCAGCAACGGTACCTAAATATAGTTAAATAATCGTACATAATGGGATTGTGGTTTTGTCAGAATTATTTCTGAGAGTTGTAATAGGGAGTTCTTCCCACAGAGCTTTCTTTCTGTTTTTAACCAGACTATGCGGTTTGATGTCCTTTATCGAATAATTCTGCACTTAACACGTTTTGCTGAAAATATGCACATGACAGATTTTGAAGGCGCAATGACAATATGTTTTCTGCAAATATATTTCTTTTTTAATCGACATACAATTTTTCCTTTGGGAAGAACAAAATTCCAAAATAAAATTTTAACAAGACCAAAATAAGAAATTTCACATTTCTTTTTGTAAATACAAAATATCTTGTTATTCACCATTTTATTTAGGTTTAAAAGTTTTTAATAAATTGCCTTCTGAGATAAAGAACACAAATAATTTTATATTTTTTATGAAGCTGCATAAACTGTGTTCTCCGGAACTCTGGGGTTCCGCACAGCCTCTCTGGGGGTTCTGCAACAGTCAAAAATTTAAAATTTTATTATCGATATTTACAAAATTAAAAAAAATATACTCTTAAAAATTTTTATTTTCATAATATATACAGGCTTATAAGTTACTATAAGAGCGTTATCTATTTATGCAAGTGCAAGTAAGTCGGCACATAACTTATAAACTGACGCAGCGGTCTTCGCATTGGTTACGTCGCCTTTCCCTTGATTTTTAGCTAGAGATTTATAATATCCCGAAATTGCTGACCAGGCAATAAATGTATTAATGCCTTTTGCAATTGTGCGAAAAATCATTTTCCAAGAACGTATAGCAACAAAAACAAAGTATGCAATGCGCTTAATGCAGAATATGAAATACGATTGCAACTTACGACAATAGCACCTGNAGACAAAAGAACTGTTGCAAAAAATTAAACGGAAACCAAATATGCCAAGGTACATCGTCGACGGATTTGTGTTCCACGTCAACATAACCAAAGGGAACCCCCCAATGATGTAAGTAAATATATTCATTGAGACCGATACCGATTTGCACTGATCTCCTTCACCTTCCTTTCTCTTCTACTTCTCTCTATTATCCCCGTTCTATGTAGATAAGTGCTAACAACAATCATTACACCTTTCCTACTTTTGCATTTTGGCAAAAAACTTTTCCTTTTTTTCAGATATTTACGCTGCTTAGAATATAAAAGACTCGGATGTCATGCTAGGGCCGTAATTCCGTACGATGGATCGATCCAGGATATTAAAGTTAATAAGCCACACAACCATCCTCCCGACTTTGCCGCCGAGGAAAAAATCGTCTTTATGCGGGAACTGAAAGAAGTTATGTTGAAAAATCCCACTGTTCCCAGCAGGACGGTGTACGCTACACTCTCAGAAGTGTAAGTTATTTCTCTCGACAGTCTCCTCTTAAATGTTTGGATATGTTGTCACATCTTGCTAATCAAATTAAAAAAAAGTTATGAGTAAAAATCATTACCGTTGGTGATGGGTGCTTTGTAAATGGGTTTCAGTGAAATTTATTAGATAATTATTTTTTTTAGGTATCCCACTGCCGCCAGAGAGACACCTTTTGATTCCATAAGACATAAAATGAACCGCTGGAGGAGACAGCAAGATTAAGTTTCTCAGTAAAGTGTTTAGGATAGTTAAGCTTTTTCATAATAACGCATTTTTTTATTTTGCTGTACGATTGGTATGCAATTAAATTGTGGTGTTCGTAATCCTTTACTAAAGTAAATGAAAATTGTTATTTGAAGGAATAAAATTTATTAAACGCAAATGTTGTTTTTACATATATGTAATAATACTAAATCGTTTCTAGTCATTGTACACCGAGCGCAAATGGCTCCATCTGTCGTGCTGACTCCCAACTATGCCATTCAAATGGCTACAGTAGAAAGCGACCTGCTATATTGCCAGGTACTTTGTTGCACGACTGCCACCCATAGAGGGCGAAACACAATGTTTCAATTGCCAGTGTTGCGAGAAACAACTACTCAGCGGGCTATATGCCCAGATACCTATTTGTCGTGAGGATACGGCCACATAACGTCTGGATCGTTGGTCGATTGTCTCACCTATGACACACTGATGAGGACTAATAAGTCCGAAACCGGTCTGTGCCGGGCGGGTTAAACTGACGAACAATTCTAGCTGTTGCACTAGGTGTTGCGAGTATAATTCAATGCCGGTCGGGGCATATAGCCCGCGGAGTAGTTGTTTCTTGCAACACTGGCAATTGAAATCGTTTCTAGTCATAACATACCTCAGTCGCACAATAAAAAAGATACAGGGTATTAAAGTGAAAAATAAAAAATGGTTTTTCCTTAATAATTTCTAAAGTTTGAGTCAGACATGTTTCAGGTAATTTTTTCAGGGTGGGAAAAATAAGTATAATAATCATTTTTGGCTGTCGCATGCATGCGCTATCTGCAAGCAATGTTATGCATTAAATATATATTAACTTTTTTCTTAGTTCTTGTATACAGCTTTTAGTAACAAAATATGAAATATTGGACTTTTTTTCAACAAAAAAGCTCTATACTTATTCACTCACCAGTTGGGGAGATATTTTTAATTTAATAAATTAGTATTTCTGATCAAAACCCCGAAGTTTGTAAATCGAGCATAATTTTTGCTTAAATGTAATTGTAAGAGATTATCTTATTGGTCCGTTTATTCTTCCTCGGCGTCTCGATGCAGCGAAATATCCGAGATTTTCAATTAATCAACTCCTAATATTGCTTGAAGAGGTGCCACTAGCTGTCCGTGAAAACGTGTGGTACGCGCACGACAGAGCTCTGTCCATAGTACATTAGCTGTTAGGCAATGGTTAAATTTAAATTTTCCTGGGAGATGAGGTTGAGGGAATGATGCACCCGTCAAATGGTCTGCGCGATCACCGGACCTCACACCCATGGACTATTTTCTATGGGGTCGCGGTCGCCTAAAATGTATTGTTTATTCCAATCCAACCCTATGAATAGTCTGGAAATGCTTTGTAAAAGAATTTTTGTAGCAGCTGAGGAAGTAAAGAACTACAAAAACATTTTTTCAATGGTATGTTGTAATTTTAATCGTAGAATTGGACTATATTTATAAGAAAATGGAAACTACGATATCTTTTATTTTTTAATTGTTAGTGAATTGTTCTCTTAGATTACTTATGTACCTATTTATTGTTTTATGTATTCTTGGTTTTTCTAGTTTTGTTCTTTTCTTCAAATGGTTGCTATTAAACTCACAATAAATATGTAGTGCAATGTTCAAATATCTTCATAGGTAAGAAAATGTATTTTTTATAGAAGTTACAAGTGTATTCATGCGTTAAAATAACACGCCAATATTATTAACAAAAATGTCCTTTTTGGTCGTTAATATTCCTGGTAGTATTAAATCCGAAATACTAATTTATAAAATGATTAAATATCTCGCCAATCGATGGTTGAATTTAGCCATTTTCGATAAGTTTGTCATTTTTGTTCAAAAAGGTCCAATATTTCATATAGGCTATTGACTATGTCAAAAAAAGAGGGTACAAAGGAACTACAACGTAACAGAAATTTTATTGTTGAATATGTTCAATTGACCCTAAAAAATGATAAAACCTTTGAGTGCTACCTTTTAACGGTTTCATTTCGATTGGAAATTCAATTTGCTACAACTTTTCTGTTGACAACTATAGTGAAAAAATGCATAGTTTTCGAGTAAAACTCAAAAAACTGAAAATACCACTTTTTTACTTCGTTCTCAAAAGCGCACCCCTTTAAAAGGGAGCACTCCACGGTTTTATCATTTTTGTACCCTCTTTTTTTTGACATAGTCAATAGCCTATATTTATTCTTTTTCGAAGTGCTCAGAATGTCAAAGTTGCTATCGCAGCCCACTATGTAATTTTTAAAAGCATTATATTCGAATATCGAAGTGTTCTCAGTGCGTTTTTTAAGTTTTACTCAAAAATCAGGCTTTATTAGAAAAACATAAGAGTAGTAATTTTAGAAAATTGAAAGACGAATCCGAAAATATCATGGTTGTTACCGTAAAACAGTGGTGTACTATTTTATTTAGAAAAATATTCCACTGATACCCTATAGCTCCGCCACTGGAGCATGTACATTCTAGGAAAAGCCCTCAGATTTTGGATAGTTTACATAAATACATGTGCCCAATTTCAAATTATTTCACTTAATAGTTTTTGAATTATTTAAAGAAATTAAAAATATTTTTTGAAGTTTAGCACCCTGTATCTTTTTAACGATAGATAAAAACTTTATAGGAAAGACTCCCCTTGAAATTCACCAAAGAATAAGAGGTTTCATTTTTGGTCACCATTTGTGAATCACCCTGTATAAATATAAATAAATTGTGATTATAATTGTATTAAATTGTGTTTAATTCAAACTTATGTCGATTTTGATGTATCTAAATATATTTTTTATATACTTTCAACNATATTTATAAATATATTAAATAATCAGTAAAAAATGTGTGAAAATTTTTTTAGGTGTGGGAGTTCCTCAAAAAAATCAAAATGTTGTCGGGGTTCCGCAAGTCCTAAAAGTTTGAAGATCGCTGCAATATTGTAACTCAGGTTTAAAACTATTTCCATCAAAATTAGATGCATGTAGGCATATCCTCATCAGTGTTTGTCATAAAACGAAAAAAAAAAACATTTTTGTAGAAATGATTCTAAAATTTTTCCTGAATTCGTTTTTTACACAAAATTTTGATTATTCATTTTATAGCTAAATGCAGACATATTGTGAAATCTTGCAGAAGCATCACCTACATTGCTTTTTATCGTACACCATTCTTGAGTAAAGCGACTGCGGACATATACAGGGTGTTTCTTTAATGATATGCGAATATAGAAGGGGATGATTTTATATGTAAAATTAATGATAGTTTGCTTTATAAATTATGGTCCAAAAATGTTCCGTTGCGAAAATACGGGGTGTTAAAATTTTAGGAAAAAAAAAGGAAACACACTGATATTTAAAAAAAAATGTTTTTTCCCCAAATTAAAATTATTTTTGAATTCCCTGTTCAATTCAAAAGATAAGAGCTCTCTTGAGTATTTGTCCTGCGATGCGCCCTTTTTGAATAAAAAAAAACATTAGTGTACCATTTTTTTCTTTAAAAATATCAGTCAGTGCTTGTACGCAAACCACTGTTAGAGCTAAAAATTATGTTTGTATTGAAAAACATGCACCTTTAGCAACTATCACTACGTACTAAATATCACTGAAATATCTCAAGCGGTTTCAAAAATATTAATTAATTTCCTTCTTTTTCCTAAAATTTTAACACCCTGTATTTTTGCAATGGAACATTTAGATAGTTTTTGAAGGAAACTATCATTAATTTTTCATGTAGAATCACATCCTTAAATGTTCGCATATCATTAAGGAGCACCCTGTATTTATTTGTTATTTTTTGACATTTTATAGAATTCGCTATTAAATTTCAACCAAGTATTTTAGTTACATCCTGTATAATAAAGATCTTGCGTAACAAAAATTTCCAGTGGCAAACTGTTTGCAATAAATATGTATTCATAGATATTAACTAGTTTATAAATAGATACATTAAAACTGGATTTTTCGTATTACAAAAAAATGTAATCTATATTCGCTCATTGAATTAATTAACCATACATTATGTATAAAAAAGTGAAAAAAGGCAATTTTGATCTATTAACACAAAAAGAAGAAGAAAGCAAGGTTGATAAAAGTTAGATGACTGTGATTTTTGTGGACCAAGAATATTAAAATAATTTGATTAAACATTTTCAAGTTATTTAAACTGGATCTAAACTTACTTAAGTTATACAGGGTAATTCACAAATGGTGACCAAAAATAAAACATCATATTCTTTGGTGAATTTTAAGGGGAGTCTTTCCTATAAAGTTTTTATATAGGACGCTTCGTTAAAAAAATACGAGGTCTGAAACTTCAAAGAATATTTTTAATTTTTTTAAATAATTTAGTAAGCGCAGTTATATTAGAAATTGGGCACGTGTATTTATGTAAACATTGTCCAAATTCTGAAGTCTTTTCCTAAAATTTACATGCTCCAGTGGCGGAGACACAGGGTATCGGTGGCATATTTTTCTAAATAAAATAGGACATCACTGCTTTACGGTAACAACCATGATATTTTCGGATTCGTCTTTCAATTTTCTACAAATTACTACTCTTTTATGTTTGGTTGCTCAAAAATACCTCCATTTCCACGAACACAGGCCTGACATCTTTTTAGTAACGAAAATGTAATTTGTTCGATATTTATTGTTGCTTGAATCTGATGAAAAGCATTGAAGACAATCGAGATGAGGTAAATTTTGCACTTGTTGAATACTTTTGAAATAATTTATATCGACAAGTTTTTAGGCTCTCAATTTTTTAACTACATTATAGTTATTACAATGCATTCAGATGCAGCAGTGATATCCTCAACACTAGCATTTTCAAGTAAAAATACATTGAGGTAATTTTTTAATTTTGAAAAATTCTTATTTACAAAATTGAAAAATTTTTTTGTGATTGTAATTTTTTAATTAAAAGTACAAAAATAATTAAAAGAATTCGAAATTTTACAAGATAAATATGATTAATTGTTGTTTAAATAAATAAATAATAATATTCAATCACCTAGAAACTTATTTTAACTTTCACATTCACAAAAATAAATTTATTAGACAAAATAATACCGAAAGTAGGTAATAAAAATGTTATAAAAAGAAAAAGTATCGTTGGTTAAATTGACATATCTCGATTGATTTTAGTTGTACAAACTTCTACCAGGCACCATTATTTTAAAGGTCTTGAAACCAGCTTTCATTTGAATATGGCATTACATATACCTAAATTAACTCAGAAAAAAGTTATAAGACGAAAATCGTCAAAAAAGGGCAAAAATTGGCCAAAAATCCAAAAAGTAGCCAACTTTGAACCAATGTATCTCGGTTTCTATTAGTCGTAGGTACTTCTATAAAGGCTTATTTTAAAG